CTCTAACGCACACATTTTATTTGCCTTTTAATAGCACAATCGGGTGTATTTCTATTTAATATAAATTTCAATTGTAAATACTTTTGTATATTTATATTTCCCATTTGATTTTTCTTTCTCCACCCTACACCTTTTATTACCGCATCAAATATTTTTTTTCTATTATTAGAAAGAATAGAACAGCGGACTAAGGGAATCAATAAGAAATAGGCGAGATATGTTGGTAGGACTGCTTCTCAGGCATAAAGGGCTAGTTAGGTATATTAGAAACAGAAACAGGAGTTAAGAGGAGTAGAGGTAGATCTAGACTGGCGATCTTATGATGATGATATCACATGATCGTCATTACTTAAATAAGGAAACTGATCGAAATGTCGAGTAGTTTGGAAAAAAGGAATGCAAGTATTTTGGATGATTTTCTTCGATTAACCACAACAGAGTTTCATAATACAACTATTGATACTTATCAGATACAAAGAGCGAAGAGATATACTTGAGAGCATTTCAATGGTTTAGGTCTGTATGATTTTAAAAGGAAAATAATGATATAATCCATATTCAATCACATTCGTAACATTCATCGTCAAAAATATGTGACGCATGGATTGAATATGTTAACTGCTTTTCTCCTGAGTGGTTTACATGCACATATAACTGCAGTTCTGTGGTATTTAGGATATAGCAGGTAGAGAATATCTCAAATGGCAATTTATAGTCACTATATTCTAGATACCGTTATGTGACAATAACTAATGATAATAATAAAATTTCAGATTAATTACTTTTACTATTTTCATAAGCAATTAACGTTAACGTACTTATTAACTTGATTACCTTATTAAACTTGATTATTTCTTGCCACATTCACAATAAAGTAACTTTATTTTGCTTTTATCTTAAATATACTTCATCATCATCATCATATCTTATCTGACTTCCTAGATACCTAAAATCAGCCACTTCTTCTAATTTTTCTCCTATCTTTATATACGCTCTTTCCCTACTTTTTCTTCCCTTGCATACAACTTTTGTTTTACTTTTATTTATTTTCAAACAGTACCGTTTTGTCAGTACCGCATGCATTTTTTTAAACATATCTCTAACTTCTATATCATCTGCAAAACTAAGCATAAGTACTAATATTTTGCCCCTGTATATCTATCCCTACAGTTGTAGTGTCTTTAATGATGTTGATCGCGTCTTCGATGTATAGATTAAAAAGTAGCGGTGTGCATCACTGTCTGACTCCCTTCCTAATATTTATTTCTCTACGTTACTGTCCCAGCTCTGTAACTGCCTGTTGCTCTTTATATAAACTATGTATCACTCTTCCATCGTTGTAACTTATCCCTACATTTTCAATAAAATTAGTTGACATTAAATTTAACTGGGACGAAAATGTTAGGTACATTATTTCCGATAATTTACTGCATATACACATATAGGTAATTTATAACACAAATATTGACAAAAGAACAATCAGTTTACTTTAATACGATAGCATACGTTAACAATAGTCGCTAATTTCCAAATCGTTATACTTCAAATAAATATAATCTAGTAAAGCATTCCCATGTCAACTTCATTAAGCAACAAAAACAATTGACCATATCATTAAATACTTTAGTTTGCACTTTGATCTGTTGCTCATGTAACACATCAACCCTTTATAAATTTATAATTATATTGTTATTAACGAGTCATACAATTTACTTTTATTTACTCAAAAAAATGTTTATCGCTTGTAGTAACATAATATTATATTCAAACTGGTGTAGTATTCATAAAAAGGATAGTCTTTTAATATTGAGAATTTTGGAAGAATTTTTATGGGGTTGATAATACATTAAAGAAAATTAATTTTTACCACTACAGATAACCACAAATTAACTAAGAGAAATTGTTGCTGCTGTCACGTTTTCGTCAGGGATCGAACTGGGGTCCCTGGATTTACGTACCATTGCTCTATCTCTAGCTCTAGCTCTAAGCCACCAAAAGTGACAGCAGGAACAACGACGATCTTGGCTAATTATGCAAGCAATTGAAGTTATCAAAAAATATCTGATAAAAGTAGTACCTCAGGCATGAAGGTTTAGTTAGAGACATACTAAAAGCAGAAGTAGGAGTTAGGAGGGGTAGAGGTAGACCTAGGTTAGATTACTGTTCGCAAATAGTTAAGGATGTGGAATGTTCTAGATTTAGGGAAATGATGATGATGATGATAAGTGGTACCGTATAGGTATCTTAAAATTATTTTTAATAATACAGTGTCCCATTCTTCCTGGATGAAATGCCCCCTTTATTACTACATTTTTGAATTTCTTATCAGATTTAAATGTCACTTTGTTAACCATAAATATAGTATAAATATATATAATATATAT